ACACTGCAGTGAATCTACTTGTACAATAGAATATTATTCAGCACTAAAAAGAAATGAACTATCAAGTCATGAAAAGACACAGAGGAAACATAAATGCATATTACTAAGTGAAAGAAGCCAATCTTAGAAGGCTACTACTGTATGATTCTGACTATATGACAACCTGGAAAAGGTAAAACTATGGAGACAGGAAAAAAAAAATCAGTGTTTGCCAAGGGTTATGGGGAGGCAGGGATTAGTAGGCTAAACACAGAGATTTTTTAGGGCAGTGAAACTACTCTGTACAATATCATAGTGGTAGATACATGTCATTTATACATTTGCCAAAACCCATAGAATGCACAACACCAAAAGTGAATTTTAATGTAAACTATGGACTTTGGGCAATAATGATGTGTCAATATAGGTTCATTGATTGTAACAAATGTACTAGTCTGGTAGGGGATATTGTTAGTGGGGGAGGTCATATGTAGGTGGGGGCAGGGAGCATATAGGAAATCTGTATTTTCTGCTCAGTTTTGCTGTGAACCTAGAAAAATAAATACTTTTATTTATTATTTATAAACACTTTATTTCTAAAAAATAAAGTCTATTAAAAAAAGCAGAGCGAAAAGACAGATTACCTACAAAGGAGAAACAGATTAATATCTGATTTCACATAAACAACAACGGAAGCCAGAGGCAGTGGAATAACAGCTTCAACATTGGAGCAAAAACAATTATCAGCCCAGAATTCTATAGCCAGTGAGAACACTGTCCAAAAATAAGGATTAAATATAAACACTAAAATTGTTTGCCACTAGTTGATTCTCACTAAAAGGAATTCAAAAGAGTATATACTTCAGGCAGAATGAAAGTGATTTGAGATGGAGAGTATAGAGGTGAAAAGAAATGAAGATCAGAAAATGTGGAAAAAATTGCAAAAGTGGCCATGCTTACTGACTCTCTTGGCCTCCATGCTCCTTTGCAATGTGATTTTGTCAAGAGATGTAGTCTATTTCTCCACTCCTTGAATTTGGCCTTGGCCCAATTCATGCCCAAAGCAATGAGACGTGGCAGAAATGATGATGTTTCAGTTGTAAACTTCCATTTATTATCTTGGACTCCTAAACTGTCATGTTAACAAGCCAAGGCTAGCCTGCTGGAGGATGAAAAACCACACAGAGGCGCTGCTCTAGACCATTATAGATCTGTTCAGCTCGGAGTTGACTTACCACCTGACTGTAGACTCATATGTGAGCTCAGCTGAAATCAGCTTAAATTGCCCTAGACCAGAAAAATTGCCTACCCATAGTCTTGAAAAATAATACAAGGTTATTATTCTAAGTCGCTAAGTTTTGAGGTAATTTATTATTCAGTGAGAAGCACCAAGAGTTAGCAATAGATAATAATGGTATAAATCAATAATATCTTGTGGGTTAAAAAATAAGATAGAAATAAAATATACAACAATAGATAGCATGTGACTAGAATTGAAGTGTGTTACAGTTAAGAAAAACATTTATTGTTTTCAAATAATAGGAATTCCAGGGATAAGCATTTTAGAGCTGGTGCAGTTGATCAAGGAATTTATCAAGGACCCAGGCTCTCTCCATTTTTTTGCTCTACTCTTTCTAGTTATGGCCATAATCCTTATGTTCACAAGTTGGCTGCTGCATCTCCAAGTATTGCAATTGTGTTCCAGACAGAAAGAAGGTGAGAAGGTAATGAGTCTGTCTCTTCTTTATGGGGAAAACAGTATCTTTCCCACAAGCTCTACCTGATAGATTTCACTACCCAGAACTGTGTCACGTGGTCATATGTAGGTGCCAGGAGCCTGGGAAATTGAGATTTTTTTTAGCTAGGTGAACTGCTTTCCCAAAGCAAATAAGGATTCTGTTACAAAGTGAATGCAGGAATGCATATAAGTTAGGCAACTAGCAGTCTCTGCTCTTTATTTGAGAAAAAACACCTTACTTAAGGGAACAATCCAACAGGAAAAGGAAACAAGGTACTAGGCATAAAGACTGAGAGGTAACATTGTGCCGGGAGCCAGGCACTGACTAGAGTGAGACTTCCAGTCCTGGCTCTGCAGCTGCCCCACTGCAGACTGGTCCTCAGTTTTTCCCCTTTAAATCAAGAGGCTGGAGTAAACGCCCGTAAGCCTTTCTGAGAGCCTGTAGAGACTGAGGGAATTAACATTTATGATTCTTCATGTGCAATAGCTCATTTGGACCTTACGACTAATATATGAGTCAGTGTCATCATCCCACTTTACATCGGGGATGTGAAATCTCGGAAAGATCAAATAGTGTGCACAGATCCCAGATCTAGTAAATGGCAGAGGCAGAATTCCAGCTGGGGTCTGCAGGCCTCCAAAGCCAGAAGCTCCTCTCCATTGCCCACCTTTCTCAAAAGGTGAAATTACTTATTGAATTTTAAGGTCACATTTTCTAAACGGTGCCTTTAGGTGTGTGTGGCCTGGTGACACCTGCAGCAGAATCACTTGGGGGTATTTATTACACATGCAGATCCCTGGACTCCTTCAGGTGAACTGAAGCAGGCTCTCTAGGGCTGGCACCCAGGAATCTGCATTTTTAAAGGCTCCCCAGGGAATGTGAAGACATTACAAAGTTTGAGAACCATGGTTTTAAACTTATAATTTATTGTTCCATTCTAATGTATTTTATTTATAGGTCCGTGGCTCATGGAAATTTCCTCCTAATAGTAGGAAAATGAAATTTAAAAATAGCCTGTTTCTCCTTCCTGTTCCTCAATTTCCTAATGAACACACTCAATTCTATGGAAAATGTTAAGGAACTGGAAGTGTGTTATAGAAGATACCCTAACACTGATTAACTGAGATTCTCTGAGGCAAGGGCACCGATTACCAGGAACATGAATGCTGATTAGAATCATACAGAGCTGAATGGGGGTGGGCAAAGGAAATGACATTAGCTAAATATTTATTATGTTCCAGATATTGTTGCAGACACATTACGTCACTTAAGTGGCTTAAGACATGTGATTCAATCCCTTTTATTTACCAATGGGGTAGGTATTCTTATGATTTCCATTTAAGAGATGAAGAATCTAATGATGAGATAAGGACAGTCACTTGTCTGAGGTGAATCATTCATTCATTCATACATAGAATAAATATCTCTTATATAAGACACTGAGAATAGAGCTGCAAAAAAGCAGTCTAGAGACCTCAGGTGTCACAAGGCCCTGACTTACCCATCGAGTCTCCATTGAAGAAATTGGAAATGAGAGGGCAGATTGGGACTGGAGCCTGCCAGAAGCAGTTTCTCCAGACTTGGTCTGCCTGCTGCAGGGACTAAGAGGAGAGCTTGCTACTGGTGGTCTCTAGTAACCCCAGAGAGCAGGCTGTCCTTGGTTTTAGCAACAGCTGCATCCCTGGTTAGGTGGTTCAGTGTATACCAGGCCCTTACCTGCCCAGAGGAGAGGAGCAGATCAGGTGTCTGGAGGGAAGGCCTAAAAGTAGAACCTGAAAGGGGGAACCCCCAAATCTTATATTCTCTCACTAACCTCGGAAGGTAGATATTTCCATTTTAAAGACGGAATAGAGGCTCAGAAACGTTAACTGACTTGTTCAAGTAAGTGTCCAAGCCAGGAGGGAAATGGGGTCGGTCTCAGATCCCAGCTCCAACATCTCACCCTGCCCCTCTGTAGCTCAGGAGGGAAGTCTATACAGGCAGGAGAAAGTAAATTACAAACCAGTACTAGAGGCTGGTTATGATTCCAGCTACCAAGGTTTATTTAATTCCAAGTTCGAATCACACAGAAAAGAAAGTTTTCTCCTTAAAAGTTTCTGTGGAAAAAGGTTCTCTGTTCTATGTAACAGCCTCCTAGGCTGTGTTTGTGTCTGAAGAGAGGACTAGTCTGACAGGAAGAATTACAAATCTGGAGCTCATTTTGGCGTCCCAGAGGGAAGGTGGGTGGAGCGTCTCACAGCAAATTAGAAATTCGTAATGAAAACGTAGCCGAGTTTATTTGGGTTTCTAGTGACACCTCAGAATTATTGTGCAGGCGTGTCGGCGGCAGCTCAAAGAAATGACTGCTCTCCCTCCGCCCCGGGGGTGCTGCGTGCTAAGAAGGGGAATCCTCCTATCTGGGGGTTGGAGGTGGGGCCTTCACTTTCCCACCTGGATCTGGAAGGGGTGAGAGGCAAGGAGTGTGGTTTGGAGTCCTGTTCTGGGTCTGCTCTGAGTTACGGAGGGAGGCGGGCCGCTATTCAGGGGTGTGCCTGAGCTCAGGATCTGAAGTCTGAAGCTGGGATCTGAGGTCAGGATTTGGGGACTTTTTGGGCCTGAAATTTTGGGGGGAGGCGGTTGCGGTGCCTAGGTTGGGGGTAGACGCTGATAGCGGGAGGAAACAGGAGACTAAGGCGCACGGGGCAGTGAGGAAAGATGTTGGTGGGGGGATGTTTAAAGTTGAGGCGTCAATCTGGGGAGTGGAAGTCGAAGCCTGCCTGACGGTACAGCGGATCTGGGTGAATTTGTTGGGGATTGGTGGTACAGAGCTGTGAATGGGGGTCGGGGTGGGGTTGGGGTCAATATCAGATCTTAGGTGCCTAGGGAGGCTAGAAGAGCGTCAAATGGCCACAGCCTTTTCCAAAAGCGACTCACACCCAGACACGCCCATCGTTCAGCCCAGGCCCTCTTGGACTGGAGGTTCAGCAGGGCCTGGGCTACTTTGGACCCTGCCCCCACTTACTCTCCAGCGAGCGCGGAGCGACTCTGGCTCAAGCAGGGGTCCTGCTGTACGGCCCCGGGGGAGTCTAGGGGCGTGGCCAGCAGGCGGGCGCCTGCAGCTCTGGATTGGCTGCCCAGCGGGCCCGCGGGCGGGGCTCCAGGCTGGGTCCCGCTCAGCCGCTTGCAGACAGCCGGGAGGCGGGGCCGGCGGAAGCCCGGCAGCCAATGGACGCGCGGCCCCCGAGCAGTTACAAAGGGCCGAAGCGAGGCCGCTGCCGCGGCGGGGGAGGTGGGGCGAGGCGAGGCTTGCTAAGGCGAGGCGGCGGCCGGGCCGGGCCGGGCCACAGGCAGTGGCGGCGGGACCATGGAGGCGGCGGCCGCTGCTCCGTGTCCCCGGCTGTTCCTCCTCGTCCTGACGGCGGCGGCGGCGACGCTGGTCCCGGGAGCGACGGGTGAGCAGCGGCGCGGCGGGGGTGGTGGGCGATTGCGGGGCGCGCGGGCCGGGTCTGGCCTCTGGCTCGCTCCTTCTCTTTCTCAAACATGGCGCGGGGCCGGGGGCGCAGGTGGCGGCGCCCGGGCCGGGGCCGGGCTTTCCTGGCGGGGCTGCTGCCACGCGAGCCGCTGGCGGGTCGGGGAGGCGGGTCGGGGGCGTGTGTCCGAGCATGGGTGGACGTGACCGGCAGCCGGTGGCTGGCCCCGGCTTCTGCTCCCCGGGGGAGGTGGCGTCGGGCGGAACGGTCCGAGGTCGGGGGCTGCCCTACGGGCGGAGCGGTATGAGGGTGGCCCGGACTGGCCGAGTTGGGACTGCTCCCTGCCTCCTTCTCTGGGGAGCTGTGTGGCGTTGTCCCTGGCACCCCACCCCAAGCGGGTTGTTGCGAGAGGCTCCCAGGGCCCGAGGCGGGGTTGGGGTCGGAGGAGGCTTCCCGCGCTGGGTGTGAGCTCTGAGCCTCCAAGGCTTCCCGGAGCAGTGGGAGGGGCGACGTGTGATTAAGACCCCGGGGTCAGCAGGGTGGACCCCGCCAAGAGGGACTGCTTCTCCAGCCAGCGGCTTTGGAAAAGGAGCTGCAAAGCTTTGTGTGAGGAGCAGGAGGCACGAAGATGAGCGAAATGTTTCTTTCGTGCGTCTGGGAAGTGTTGAAGTGAATCCAGTAACCAGAAGGCTACAGATTGTTTTCGTAGTAGAAACTTGAACTTTTGCTCACTCTGCGACGTTTGGAATGTTTGAATGGGAATGGCTCTGTGAATTAATCAAACACTTTTATTTCCTCGAAGGGACATTGCTAGTGATGTTCCTTTTTCTGAGTGGCAGCTAGTAGTTTGAATCAGTTGTCTGTATAGCTAGTTTTCAAGGGAATGTTTGCTCCTTTTTCCAAAATATAAAATCAGAATGGCGTACGTGGTCATCACCTTACGCCCGTGGAAGGAGTGAAAAACTGTTAGCATCTAAAATAAAACACTAGAAACTAAACCACAAGAGCCTTACTTATTACTTAGTATTAGCAACTAAAATATAGTGAAAATACATTTCTGTTTCAGAAATTGAATACCCAGTGTTTTAAAAAACAAAAACTCAAGACTGAGTTGAGGGTGCCAATTATTGCTAATAGCTACTGTCTACTAAGAGCTTACTATGATGTAAATACATCAAGTACACCAAAGCACTGCTATCTAATCCCCACAACTGAACTCTGAGGGCTAATGGCATTTGCCCTATTTTATAGATGAGGAAACTGAGGTGCCCAGAGGTTTAGTACTCAGTTACTTGAGAGATGTGAAGTTATGATTTGCACCCAGGGTTCATGTTTTCAAAACATATACACCTTAATATATACACCTAACTACTGTCGGGCATAGCCCATTGTTTCATTTTTAGCCCTCTGATGAGCAATTGATCTTTATTATGCAGTTTTAGGTTTTGCCCTTACAATTTGAAAATCAGATTAGCTTTTTGACTCCTAGTACATTCCTGGAGTCCCTTCACATTGGGCCTACATGAGAAGAAACAGTGGAGTTTTGACATTGGCAAGATAAATGTGCAGATAGGTAGGAGAATTGATACTGTTATGCCTCAAGCATAAGTTATATTTCCACACCACTATTAACTTGAATAACAGTTCATTCTTTTCCAGCTAGCGTAGCACAAAGTTTTCATGGATTCAAATAACAGTGCTGGAGTAATGGATGTACAGAACATCTCTCAGTCCATGCTCTGGAGGAGCTTCCAGACTACACAGGCATGCCTACATACAATACAAAGCTGATTCTAGTGCTAATACTCTAAGTCTAGACTACCACAACTGGTCTGCCTGCCCTGGGTGGGTATGTTGATGTTTCACTCCATCCTTTCATAACATTTCCAAGGAGCTTAGTGCTTTTTTAAATTTATAATTTGGCTTCCTTTTTAAGAGCTTACAGTTCCTTATTGTCTGGGTATCAGTTTTGTATTCTCTGCCCAGCTTCTGCTCTCCCCAACATAGATTTCTCTGGGGAAATTGGTTCCCTGTCCCTAGTACACAGTTTAGTACCCCTATGTCTACATATATTGGGGTTGTCAGAAAAGTCATGACACATTTTTGCAACGAAAAAACGTAGAAAAAAATACAACATGACTTTTCTGACAACCCAGCATATCCCATATGAGAAGGCTGTTTGCATGCTTTCTGCCATTTCATAACTTTTTGCTTTGAAAACATGCCTAAAGCCCAACTCTTCTTTATATTAATGCCTCTTGAGTGTCTCTTCCTTTCTTTGTGTGCATCTACCAGTTTAATCCTGCCTGTATTATCACTCAAATCTAGTTGCTTTCCAGTGTTGCTCTCTTCGGAGCTGTTCTGTAGGCTACTGCCAAGCTAACCTTCCTCAGCCATCCCTTCAAATGGCTTACAGGATTTCGCATTTGTATTCAGCACTTAGAGCACCACTTGAGGCTTATGATTAGGGCCATCTCTGAGTGTCCAACACTTCTCACTATTGCAGACTCTCAATTCCAGTGATTTCTGTTTTTCCACTGACTCCTGACTTTTTAGCCTTTTCACTACGTACTTAATTTTGCCCTTTTTGGTAGTGTGAGGAAAGAAGTTCTCAATCTTGACTTTCTGTACTGGTTTAGTTCCTGAACGCTATTTCCCTGAACTGTATGTATAACACTTCTAGTTTGTGTTGTCTATGTCTGCTGTCTTCTGCACTGTTATTTAACTATACTCTTGAACATGTTACAGGTACCCAGAGGTCCAGGATCATGCCTTTTGTTTCGTTAGGCTCTCAGAACCTAGCACTGTGTTTTATATTCAGTTCCACTTAAATGCTTATTGATTAAATGAATGCCACTTGACTGGGCATTCATTTAGTATTTATATTGTTATATGTTAAGTACATTTTATGCAATATTAATTGATAATTCTGTGTATATATTCAGGACAAGTTGTATGATGTGAAGGAAGCAGATGGTTATTAGATTTGGTTATTAGTCCCAACTTCATCTCCAGTTATGCAGAAAATGGGGGTGATACCTACTTTTTCTAATTCACGAGATCTTGAAGATAAAATAAGAAAGTTGTGTTGGAGTTTGAAGTTGCTACTTGGCATTGGCAATAACAGGTAGGAGTGATGTTCAGCCAGCAATTCCCACTGGGCCACGTGTGCTTTTATTGGTCAGACATCCTTTCTGATTGGTGGGTACCATTGTGATGCCAGTTGTTAAATATTTTTAATGTCACCCCTGCAGAGAGGCATCAGTATTCAAAGAGGGAAATGATTACTGTAGGCTGAAGTGACTGGGGGAGGCTCCCTGGACACTTGAGGACTTCAGCTGACTTCGAAGGGTGGCTAGAATTCAAATGGGCAGAGAGTATTTTATGAGTATTAAACTCTCTTTGTCAGCTGTGTCCCCCAATTGCCCCAGGGCCTACTGCAGTGCAGGAACCAAAGCTTGTATTGACTGGCTGACAAGTTACTCTTTAGAGTTAAATTCCTTATTCTATACTGTGGTTTGGATGTATTAACCACTGTTTGTTTTGTGTGTGTGTGTGTGTGTGTGTTTTGCAATTCTAAGAACTATAATAGGTGACTGGAAACAAATCAGAAAGGTAACGTAAGTGGGATAAGTGAGGGAGAATTATATTGTGGACTGCCCACTAGACTAGGCATCCTAATGGTGAAAGTCGTAAGTCACTTCAGTTTACAGATGGGAAAACACGACTGAGATTTAGGTGGATTTCTCAGGGTTAGGCAGAACTGAGATAGGAACTTTGATTTTTTTTTTTTTAAATTCCAAATCTTGTGCCCCATATGGCACATTCAAATGTGAAGCACTTGGAATGGGAGAGGAACAGCGTTAATGGAGTGACTTATATAAGTCAAGTTATCTTGAATTTTACAGAACTTATGAAAAACGACTTCTGTAGGTGGGGAGGAGAGGCAAATGATTACAGGTTATATAAAAGTCCTCAAGAGAAGGGAAGTATCTTTTTTATATTGCTGATAAAAGGACCTAGTATAGAGCTTATTGATTGAGTAAACTAGGCCTATGGTAGTTTGGAAGATGGTGAAACAATTTTGAATTGAATGGAAGTGGGATGTAGTTGAAGGGCCTTACAGTAGTAGTACATGGTTAGGTTTCGAATTTTAGGTGGTCTGCTTTGTTATTGAAATTAAATGAGGAACTGACATGATTAAAATAATAAAGAGGGAGATAAATCTTGTTCCTGTGGGGAGGGCCTTTTTTGAAAGATTCTTGTATGCCTAGTTGAAACAGTTATAGGAATTCCACACCACTCTTGTTGAACCGTTGTGTTGCATCAGATATGTTCATGTCTAATGAAGTGGGCTTTGAAAATGCCATTGTCCTGTGGATGGCCTTTTTGATGCAAGAGAGAGCAAGTCTCTTCAAAAGACAGAACTCCCTGCACATGTTGAAGGGTGCCTTTTGCTGTTCTTTCTAGGCTGTGGCTTACATAATGCAAGTTTCAGAACAGATGGACTGTGGTTTGGTGTCATGTGATTGGGTCACATCTTTGCTTCCTGCTTCTGGAACTGAGGGCAGATGCTGGCATATTTCTCAGGGATTTTCATGCTTTGACCCACAGAACTAGCTCAAGAAAACTTCTGGAATCGTCTCAAAATTTATGATCTATCTTGACCCAGTCTTAACTCCACTACTTAGAATAGTAGTTAATGCCTTTCCTACCTGAAGTTTCTCAATGTCAAATTCAAGCAGTCTCCATAAACATTAAGATTTGCTGCTGCTCTGAATTAAATCCAGTACAGTTTTGGCCCAGATAATGCAGGTAGGTTTCTTATGGTTACCTCTTTTTGACAAGAACTTATAGTTGGTTGACTTGTAGGTTTTCTTGCTTTAGGTAAACGCTTTCTCAGACACTGCTGGAGTAAGTCTGATTGGTTTAATGGGTCCCGTTTTGTACGTCAGGTCTGGCGTTGTTGTAAAGCTCGTCCC